GAGAGAGAGAGAGAGAAACCATGGACAACACTACTTTGGATAACTACTTGGCCAAGAGGCTGAGAGCCTGGGTAGAGAGCACATCAGTCACTCCAACTATACATCTGCCAAGCCAACCAACACCAGTCCCACCACAAACCAAAAAGAGATCATGTTTTCTTGGGTGGGGTAAGAGAAGAGAACATCACTCTGGATGGTTTTCTATTACCTACTAGTGCTCACATAAATATCAAAAGAGACAGAATACTGGTCAACTAGGCGTAGCAGAAGTTTGATTTTAACAAAAGAACATCGACTGAGAGACTGCCTTATGGAGCTTGGGAAGCTCAGGCACTTGCACAGCCTCAGTCGAGGTGCCTCCACCACCACTGCGGATTGAAGAAGTCTCAGAAGAGTCATCTGAGGCCTTTAAGATATGTTGCATCTGGGTAGCTGCCAGATGGGCGTAACTGATGGGGGACACTGCCACAATTCATCCATAAAATACAACACTGAAGTTAGATAAGCATAGAAATAGCAGGAGATGCAAGTATGCCTAAAAGTAAGAAATGCTTAACACACAAGTAAAAACCGAACTACCAAACGATTCACGACAAAGGCTATATTAGGAGTAGCTCTAGATCTTATTCAAAATTTCAAACTTCCAAGAGTACGTCAACCCCTGGAAAGAAGAATGGGTCAAAGTACGAGAACAGTTGATACAGACTACAATTTTTGTAAAGAGGTTCCAACCCTCGGCCATATGTACTTTACCTTGAATTCATTAGTGTAAAGATGACATGGAAGTGAGTCACGAACTCAAATGACTATTTCCCTTTTATGAAGTAGAAGGGCAATATTCAATTCTTGAACACCTCTCTTTTTCATGCCTACCTACATTTTTTTTTTCTGAGAAAGTTGCCTTCCTACATTGACCCTAGATATTCCCCTGCTATATGCTAAAGATTGTCTTGTATGTGGAAAGGATAGACAACAGGAAGCAATTCTGATAGAGCAGCGATAGGTATGTGGACTAAATACTATTTCTAGTACTATGGGTGTGAGTGCAAAAAAAGCAGCTTAGGCCACCTCTTCAATGACATAAGAAAAATAAGAAAGCAATTTTGGATGCAGAACATCGATTATCACTTTTCTATCAAAGAGTACAAAGGCAGTGCCTACTCCTCTCCTATTTTAGAGGGGTTCACGGTGAACATGCAGCAGATGAAGTTCAATAGGCACAACAGTGTCATTTTATCTGAATTAGAATGCAAAGAAACTCTATACCTACAGAAATTGAAGTTGTACTCCTCTGGTACCTACAGTAACAATAAACAAAGCACCAAAATCATTAGGGACTGGCCTGCAGGAAGAGCAGAGGGTTGGGTGCGATCTCACAGTGTGGGGAATTGCTATTTGTAACCATGTTTTTGCTACGCCCACCATAAACTTGGTCAGCATGGTAATCAAAAAGCCAGCAAAGGTTGCCACCAGTATTCTTTTGTGGGAATAGCAAAAACATGGGTGAGAGGGAGTACTTACACATGGGACAAGGCGTACACGAGCATTTGGAGATCATCTGGACTGAACCCAATCTCATCCATCAGAACATGATAATGCACAGGTCTCGAAGTACCCTTTGATTATTTTAAATAAGAATCTAATCAGAAAACTCAATGAGGAAACAGGAGCAAAAAGAGAAATCAAGAAAGTACGCCATATGCGACTTACAATAGGTCCAGCATGTGCACACAAGTAAAAGTCATAATTTCTAGGATGACAGATCCCGGAGTCCACAACCGTACCTTTCACCACAGTAAAATAAAGAGTTAAAGATCAGAAAGAATGTAGAGTCATGAATAAAGAGACGCAGCAGTTGTTCAAGAGACCTGGAGGGACATTATCATTTGATGAGTCCCGTTGGAAAAACCTCGTATGATGATTCTTCTGAGCAATAATCACTGTGATCTTTGGCCTGTAACCATCCTCAAGGTAGTTGCAAGCCTACAAAACCAATCACTTTACGGAGTCATATAACCATGAATGGTGAATGGAACGAGGAAAATTATAATTCAAAAGCTTAACATATAATTCAACAAAGAAAGACAACCTGAATGATTTGATCGACTTCAATGTTCAGCACTTGGGTGAACTGAGATTCACTCACCCCATCCCTAAAACCAAATAAACAGAAAACACACATGACAACTATATAGATACTCAGAATGTGCAGAAAAACTGAAGGCCTTCTTAGCCTTTGAAAGCCATATTCTCAAATTGCAAGACTAAAATAGTTGATATGCTAAATATCCCAGTTATAAGTACATGTTCCCAGAATAAACTGGTATCAATAAAAACAAAAGACAATACACAGCATATGAAAGTCAACAACATTTCCCAACCAAGAAAAACATAATTGGGGAAATAGTAAATAATGATAGAAAAGTTGAAGAGCAAGCAGTATTTACTCAAAGAATTTTACTATTTCATTGAAATAGTATAAAAATGGATTACATATGAAAAATGCAGATTGAGGGTACATACTCTCTTTTTCACTCTTTTTGCAATAGTTGCATAACTATTATTTTATCTCATTTCAGATTTTACCTCCATCACTTTTATAATATTTTCTCTCACTTTTTATGGGTTTTTCACTTCTTTTTTCCATGCCCATTCAACAATATAGTGACGGTCTATTTATAAGATATTTACACCGCCATTTTACATTTTTCTAATGTGCCTTCACATCAACGAAATAAGCTTAATCCTTATTCTATTGTGGGGTTCTATGGTGTTCTTTTGAAATACAATATCAATAGTAAAGAATCATGGCGTGTCGGTAGAGAGAGAAAAGTGTTTGGCGTATGATGATGTCATTGATAATAGGAGAGAGAGTCTGTGAGGGTTGCAAATTATTTTTTAACATCCCCTTGAATTTGTTACTCTCATAATATCTCTAAGCTGAATGAATTTGTCTGTAGAAATTGCTTTTGTAAATATATCTGCAAGCTAGTTATTTGTATTGATGAATTTCACTTCTATATCTTTTTTTTGTCAGCGGTCTGATGAACTAATGACAAATTCTCATGTGCTTTGATTTGGAATTTAACACTGGATTTCATATCATTGCAATAGTTGACATATTGTCATTGAAAATTGTTATGGGAGAATTTTGCTTTTGCTGCAAATCTGATAAAATTCTTCTGAGCACTTCACATGCTGCACTTGTTGCTCAAATATATTCGGCTTCTTAGGAGGATAAAGCCACAATATTTCTCTTCCTTGATGACCAAGATATGACTTTTGTCCCTTGGTCCGGAAGTGCTTCTTCAATCATCATAGAACACACCCAATCACTATTAGAAAATCTAACAAGATAAGTATCATTCTCAAAAATATATTTGATACCATGTTTCCTTGTTCTCTAGATATATCTCAAAATCTTTTTTGCTGTTGTAATATGCAATTTACTTGGTTTATGGATGAACATGGTACAAATATTGATTGCCTGCACAATGTTTGGCCTTGTTTTAGATAAATCAAGGAACCAATGGTGAATCAACTTTTTCTGCATTATCATTTTTGGAGAGTTTCACTGGAATACTTAGCTTGCAATTTGACATTTTCAATTTTTTCGAAAGATCCCCAATATATTTTTCTTGATAAATAAAAGTTTGTGCAGTTGATTGCTTTACTTGGATTCCAAGAAAATATTTCATGATCCCCAAACCAGTCATTTCATATTCTTTCATCATTGCTTTTTTGAAGTCTTCCACCATTTTTGGATTTGTGCCCGTATAAATCAAATCATCTACATAAAGGCATACAATTAGGAAGGAATTTCCACTTTCCTTTTTACATATAGTGAAGGTTCACTTGGGGCTTCTTTCAAATCCATTTTGGCAATAATCTTTATCAATTTTGCTATTCCAAGCTCTTGGAGCTTGTTTTAGCCCATAGTTGTTCAACTATTAAAATCTTTTTAAGTTTATAATTGTTTTTTCCATTTTTCCTTTGTCAAAAAGACCCAATAGTTGTTCAACATGTGCTTCTTCCTCAAATTGAAAAATTGGAATTTTAGTTGTGCAGCTATGGCCAAAATAGGTTGAATCGTTTCTATTCTTGCAACGGAGGCAGAAATCTATTCCAGTGCCACCAGTCGAGCTTTGTGTTTTTGAACAAAACCATCTTCATTATATTTGGTTTTGTAAAATCCATTTCAGCATAATTATTTCTTTCCCTTTGGGGTGATCAACCGGTTCCCGTGTATTATTCTTCCTTATCACTGAATTTCTTCATTTACCCGAATTTCTCATTAGCAACTTCTTCATAATTTTGTGGTTCACAAGAAAAGAATGCAACATCACGTGATTCATAAATTTCAAAAAGAGATCTTACTTAGTATTTCTTAACCTGAAGACCTTGGGCTTGGACTATCTTGTCTTGGACTTAAAACTTGGATATAAATCAACAATCTTTAAATTTTTTTATGCTTGGCCAGTTTTTTATTCCAGTCCCATTCACTTTTCTCATAAAACTTAACATCTTTGGAAATTACTAGTTCCTTTGTTTTTGGATTAGAAAGATGATAAGCTTTACAAATGAAAAAATAATTTGTAACTCTCTCCCATCATCATATACCACACGCTCATCAATGACATCATCATACACTATACACTCATCTCTTTCTACCGACAAGCTATCATTCTTGACTATTGAAATTATATTTCAAGAGAATATTATGGAAGCCCACAATAGAAGAAGGAAGAAACTTCCTATGTAAATATGAAGGCACACTAGAAAAATATAAAAAGGCAACGTAAAAAACTTATAAATAGACCATCATTATACCGTTGTATGGGCATGAGAAAAATGAAGTGAAAACCCATAAAAAGAGATAGAGAGAGAATCTCGTAAAAATGAGGGAGGTAAAATCGTAGATGAGATCAAGCAATAGTTACCCGAATTGCCTATGAGGGTAGCGATTCCGTTTCGGAATCTCGATTCGGCGTTTACCTGAGTAAAAATCGATTCCAAAAGAAAGGAATCACGTTTCCATCTTTTGCAGAACGCGATTCCACCTAGTTTAGGAATCTCAATTCCTGGATTACCGGAATCAAAATTCCATATCGAGGACTTTATGATTCTTAGCTACACAAGAATGCGATTCTGTTTGTGAGAAATGTTGATTCCAAAATTTTTGGAATTGCGAATCCATGTCGTTTGGAATCAAGTTTTTATATTGCAGACATCATGATTCCTTGCTACACAACAATGCGATTCTTCAACTAAATAATAGGAACTTCAAGTGGTCAACTAAATAATATAACATAAAAGTAATGTGAGAATAGGAAGTTCAATTTTTTAACTAAATTATATAACATGAAAGTAATATGAAAATAGGAACTTCAAATCTTCAACTAAATAATATAACATGAAAGTAATGTGAGAATAGGAACTTCAAGTGCTTAACTAAATAATATAAAACATGAAAGTAATGTGAGCATAGGGAGCAAAAAACCTTCGATGTGTGCTCAATCATGAGTGAGCGCGACATGTATGAGAGCGTGAGAGAATTTGAAGTTGTTGCACATGGAAATAAAATCAACTTTTAAAATATGAGTAATATCTTAATTTTTTTATTTTCTTATTTACTAATTTCCATCCTTCATTTCATGTTACTTTTTAAGAACTCTTGCCAAGAATAAATAATACTAAAAAAATACGTTACTTCAAATTTAATAATGTTTTGTAAATGGTGGGTAGTAAACTACTAATGTAATAATGTTTAATATATGATCGGCACTGTCATTTCTTCAAGTTGAATAAGAGGATAAAAAGGTTTTTCCTTAAGTAGAATAAGAAGATAATAAGGATATGAGCGAAGTGCCCTGTGGTGGTTTAGGTTAAATTAATGATTAAATATTAAAGAAATTGACTAAAAATTGAATAACTCCATTTTCAGAAGTAAAAAAAACTCAAAACTACATTTAACAAAGAAGAATTACCATGTTATGTACTTATTTTATAATTCAAATAAAGGAGATAAAGGAATCTTGCCCTTGTTCTCACTCCTTGTATGTCGTAGACTATCCGAACCTTGTAAGTATAATAGAGTTATCGGTAAATCGAGTCCATTGTATGGGATTGTCCACAAAGATATCATAAAGGTTGAAATTAGTACTTGGGAGTCTTCACTGAGTATACACAGACCAAAATTTGATCTTGTAGTAATGGGTAAGTTTATATGTTTTTTTAATACTTCTCACATATACTAGAGGGAATTGGTTTGTAATTCTAGTAAAGGGAGAATCTCAATTCCAGTATGGGGAGTTCACGATTCGGGAATAGTGAGAATGTTGATTCCAAATTGATGAGAACAATGATTCTAGAACTTTAGGAATCACGATTCCTTATTTTTTGGAATCACGATCTCAACAACCACCAAAAAAAGTGGGGTCATGTGTGATTCCATATGAGTATGAAATGCGATTCCAACATCAAGGGACATTGATTCTTGCAATTAAGGAACACGACTCCTCGTTTTTTGAATCGCGATTCCAAAATAGTGAGAATCATTTTTCTCAAATCCGAATCATAGGGACATTGATTCCTAGACTCCAAAACTTCTGATACACCCGATTCTGCGATACCGATTCCATAAACGATTTGGAATCACAGACATTTCCAACAGCTATAGTTATGCATCTATTGCAAAAAGAGTGAAAAGAAAGTGTCCACCATCATATTCATATGTAATCCCTCTTTTATAGTATTTCAATGAAATAGTGAAGTTACTTTGAGTAACCATTAATATTGCTCACTCTTCAACTTTTCTACCATTCTTTGCTATTTTTCCCAATAAATTTTGGTATCAGAAAGAATTTTGAGATATATCTCAAAAAGGATTTTGACATATATTTAGAGAACAAGGAAGCGCGATATCGAAGAGATTTATGAAAAAGATACTAATCTTGTTGGTTTTTCTGATTCTATTAATGATCAGAAAAGCACTTCTGGCAATGTATTCTGCCTAGGGACAAAAGTCATATCTTGATCACCAAGGAAGCAAAATACTGTGGATCTATCATTAGCAAAAGCCGAATATATTTTAACTACTGTAGCATGTGAAGCACTCTGGCACAAAATAATTTTATTCGATTTACAGCAAAAG